GTGGAACTGGTGAAACAGCATTTCATGAGATTTATTACATTCTGTTTCTAGTCCCAAAAAAATCCGGGGACTGGTGACCAATCCTAAATCAAAGAGAGTTGAAGCTATGGGTAAAGAAGCACACGTTTCAGTTTGAATCACTTTGGTGCATTCTGCAGAGTATTCAGCAGGACAATCATATGACATCTTTAGTCTTTAGAGATGCTTACGTGCATTTTCCACCTTCCAGACAGTTCTTCCCTTTTTGATATTTTTGGGCCAGCATTTCCAATACAAGGTCTTTCCCTTTGGGCTGGCATTATTTCTGAGGGTGTTTACCAAGATCCTGGTAGCTCTAATAGCCTACCTATGACAACAAGGAATCTATATGCTTACCTGGACAATATCTTCTGCAGAGCCAAGGAGGCAGAGGAGGTGAGCTAGGATACATAGTCTACAGCACATGGCTGCCTGATCAGTGTGTAAAAAAGTCATTTCACACTCTCCAGGGACATCGTCCACTTAGGGGCCAGGATTCGGACAAGGGTGGCCCAAGTGTTCCTCCCTGCAAAGAAGCAGGTAAAATTGTTGGAAAGGATGAAATAAAGCTGGCAGAGGTCGGTAGACCTGATGCACCGGTTGACAGTTCTGGGGCTGATGATGTAGATTCTTTGGGCCTGCTTCCATCCAGGCCTTTACAGTGGACTCTTCTTTCTTATCAGAAGGACACACACAACACGGAGCACAAATAAGTCAAGATATCCCCCCCCCAAAGAAGTCACTAAGCTAGTGGTCTTTGCAACCAAATCTGACAAGAGGAGTCAGTTTCCTCCAGCCTCCTTACTTGATGCTAATTACGGGGACCCACAGAAGGGACCAGGGAACACACTTGGAAGGATCAGATTGTCTAAGGCAGATGGAGCCTGTTGGAAGAAATGAATAGTATGAACTGGCTGAAACTTGGGGCAGATTAGCACTGATTGCCTTCCAAAACCTATCAAGGAATAAGGATGTGGTAGTGTGTGCACAGTCAACACTACAGCCAAGGCTCACATCAACCCACAAGGAGGCACCAGATCAATGGGCTTTTCAATCCTGTTCAAATGGGTAGAGAAAAATTTGGTAGGTCTGAAAGCAGAACACCTATAACAGTCTTACAGACCTCCCAGCTAACTGGCTGAACAGAAAGGATTTAGATCCAGGAGAATGGAGTCTAAACAAACAGATCTTCCAGCAAAATCACACTTTGTTGCGTGATCCCTACTTTGATCTTTTTACAACATCAAACAACAATCAAGTTGCCAGGTTTCTAACCAGTTTCTATGGTCCCAGGGCACAGGGCAAAAATGTATGCTCTTGCTGTTGACCCAGTGGTCTGTTCTATGCCTTTCCGCCAACCATGATCAGCTGAGACCTGAACAAAGTGTCAAAGGAGGAAACGGAAGTGATTTTCAGAACTCCCTTCTGGCAGAAGTTTTTGGGTCTCAGAGCTAGTGAAGATGTCAGTATCTCTACAGTGGAGATTGTCTAACAGATGGGTTCTGCTGGTACAAGAATCAGTTTACCACTCAGACCCTATTTGACTCTAGCTGACAGTTTAGAGATGGAAAGGGCTGATTTAGGAGAATTGGACCTTCCAAGTTATGTAGTTGACATCATGGTACAGTCCAGAAAACCTGCTTCTAGTTGTCTCTATAATTGTATGTGGCTGACATTCAAAAGTGGGCTAGTACCGAAAGTCTAGGTCCACTGAAACGTACTTACAAAAAGACATCATTCCCTTTCTACACGAAGGTTAGAATTAGGTTCTAAGACTGGATGCCTTAAAAGACAGGTTGCAACATTGGTCGCAATCTGAGACTGCAAAAGACTGCGTCATTTTCTTCTCATAGGCACATTAGGCTTTTCCTCGAAGGAACTATACATTTGGCACCTCTCACTTGGTATGGATTGCCTACTGGGAACTTTTCTGAAGTGTTACAGGTCTTGAGCAAACCTCCATTTGATCCTTTCAAATGATAAGAAGCCAAAGTTTCCTTTTTGGAAGAAGTCTTTTTTTTTTTTTGGTGAGGATGACTTCTGCAAGACGGATTTCTGAATTTGGGGCTTTATTAGCCAGGAAGGAATTGTGTATATTTTACAAGGTCTTGGTGGTACTTAGGAGGAAACCTTCCTCACAGCCTTATTCACGAGGCCTAGTAAACCACAGACTAGCAAGGCCAAAATCTTAGTCCAGTTTTCAAAGGACTTCTACCTGTGAAATAGTTCGTACCCAATAGAATGTTTGACTCCCCAGACATGCTTTACTGACTTCATTCTTGTTTATGGATTATTTTTAAGATGCCTCCCTCTTCTTATTTATTGGGAATTTTATTTAGGTGCATGATTAGCCTTCTGAGCATGTGCCTCCTTAGCCTCTCCTGGGGAGCAGAAGTCTGTGTTTGCCCCTCCCAGCCTAATCCACAAGTTCCGTGAATGCTGAGTGGGTACCAAAGCTGTGGACCGGAAAGCTCCCCTCTGCTCTTATCTTGTTGGCCCATGCCTCTGGGCTCCTACTCCTTTTCTGTTATTAGCACAAGAAATTGTGAGCGCTTTCTGTCTTGCCTTGCCAATACTTTGAGATCTTTCTTTCCTCAGCTTGGTTCTCATGGTTACTGCTCTCTTTTCCCTACTTCACCTGCTATCAAGACTGCTACCTCTTTCTAGGGAATTCTTCCCTTCTTTCTGCCGCACCACATACTTTGCCTCCTTCAGTATTTTTGCCCAAGACGCATCCCAGACAGCTGTGGCCTTGCTAGCTCTGTGTATACTGATGCGGCAGATATCAGGCAAAACTCTGTTCCAACCCTATATTTCCCTTTAGTTGCCTGTGAGCAGCACTGGGTCCCTGAGGGGCTACTCATTTAAAGAGATGACAGAGATGAAAATAGATCATGATAACTTCCCATTTAGCAATGATACCAGCAGTATGTCTGTGCAACGTCTTCCTTCTGGGAGGCTTAAAACTAAGCGATTCTGCTGTAGTCTTGGCTGGGAAGCCTGTGTGTAGCCAGTACAAGTCATGTATTACATGAAATAAGAGCTTTGTGAAAGCCCCCAAAGTGTACCACAGCCAGGATATTTTAATAATGGATAGTGTGATGGGTGCACATTGGGGGTGGCTGTGGACAAGCCATTAACCCTCTCATCCTGTCTGTATTACTTGGACTTATTTGTGTGTTTTCAACCTGAGCTTCCTGGAGGGTGGGTTGGAATGCAGACGTGATGGATAAATTTTCAGAGTTCAGATCCTGAGTAGCATTCATGACAAGGACCTGCATCCTGGATATGAAACATCTTGTCAGGTAATATGCAGAAAGGTGAGTTGCGTGGTTTATTTGATGCCCTTTCAGAGTGTCTTGAAACTTCATATGTAGAGTATGAAAAGTGTGCACCAGGAAAACAAAAGCTTTTCTTTGATTTAAAATTGTATGTAACCTGCTGTGCCTTGATATAAATCATGTGCCAGGACTCTGAAAGCTGCTTGTTGCCATTTAGTCTTCAGACTTTAAACAATTCTCTCTGTTTAGAACTGGGTTGCATGCCAGCAGTCACAGCACAGCCATATAGGGCATGACAGAACTGATGGTTTTGGAGTGAGATCACAATCTTGATTTGTTACTTCAGTATCACAAGTACATACATGTTTTATGTTCTCACAAATGGACAAACACAACTTGTTTTATATTTTTGGTTCACTTTGTTTGACTTTCTGTAGTGAAGCTTTCCAAAGTATATTTTCCTTATTCCATGAAGGAAAGGGAAATACAACTAACTGATCTTACTAGGATGTCTCAAAGTTGGCATATTTAGACAGGCTTTGATTTCTGGTGAAGGATCAGTGTACATTTATTTGCATTAATGATTAATTTTGGTGTTTACAAGTCAGTTTTGCCCCTCTATCTTCAAGGGCATCAGATACAAGATTAAGATCCGAATGCACCCCAAATAGTATGTACCAGCCAAGTGAGGCTTATGGGTACCAGCTTCAGGTTTCTTGCACTCCGTGTTTTGCTCAGCCTTCGTGAGATGTTTGAGAACTAAAATCTTGATAGACTTGTAGCAGCTTAAGCTGAAGTTGCTTACTTGGAGGATTATTCATTAAAGATCCCTCATCCTATTTATGTTGTATCTGTTCATTTTCATCTTTATTAGTAGTGTCTAGGTAGGAGAATGGCAAGTCAAGACGGTTAAATAGATTTGTCCGATAAGTGAAGTTGAGAGCTGAAACAGTTTCATACTATATATGGTGTTTGTGCATATGATGGAAACGTAACATTAGATTTTACTCTGGGTTGTGAACCAGTGCTTTCTGGAAGGTATCCAGTGCTTGGTGAAAAAGATTTACAATGGACTAAAATAATCAGCATGCAGTTTAGAATAAGACATGTGTGTGTGCGCGTGCACAGGGGGTGTTCTTGGAAATACTTACTTTTTAGGGCATGGCTATATCTGGGCACTAGAAATCCCGTAAGTGTAAGTAGCTGATGATTCCATGCGATTAACTGTTCTTCAGATTTTTTTAAAAATTCTTATTTGGACAGCATCACGTTTAGAGAAGAGAGCAGCCTTGGAAGAATACATGAATACATTAATAATGCTGCCATTCTAAGAACTCTAAATTGTTTTTCTCTCAATACACTTTGTATACAGTTAGTTGACAGAAGAATGTAGCTATACCTGAGCATGCTTTGAATTAATATGAGCAAAGCAGTTGTCAAGATGCACCACTTTTGCTTCTGCTTTGTGTTCCTGTGCTAAATAGTGTGTTGATTTTAGATATTTTGATTGTTGGAGAGCATCATATAAGCTATCTGATATGAGCGTTAGAAAAAGTTCTGTTTCTTTACTCCATGTCATGCAAGTCATTGGAGACAAAGGTTAATGCTGTTATATGTCTTTTGCATAGTGTTTGTCTTTTATAGACACACTATATGTTTGGTATTTTAAATACTGTTTTCTGTTGACTTGTCTTGCTATAGGATGTTCAGAAAGAGAAGGAAACGCATAGTTACCTCACCAAAGAAGCAATCAAGGAAAAAATCCAAATTTACAATTCAGATGTTACTGACAAGCTAAAGATGACCTTGGTAAGACTTGTGGGACTTTTTTTTTTTAACTGAATAATCACAAAGGATCTGTGGAGGGAACTAGAAAATCATTACAACATTTTTGGCATGTAAACATAGATATATTGCAAAGTGTTCTCTCAGTATCGATTTTCTTAACTAAAAATGTGATGGTATTCAGCACAAGAGGTTTTAAAAGCATCACATATAGACCTGAAGTGAAAGGATGTTTGTTACAGGATGGTGCTTTCCAGGGGTCATTTGGGGCCAGAGCACGCTGGAGCACTGCTCCGGCAGCCCAGGAGGGCACAAGCCCCGCCCCCAGCTCCCCCTCTCTAGAGTCGCGCCGCAGCAGCCATAGAATATAATGGGAAGATTGTGCCGCCGTCGCGCCATGACTCCAAAGAGAAGGGGTTTAAAGTTCTTCGCTCCCCCCCACACCTTGGCAGGCTGGCTGGGGAAGCAAAAAAGGGGAGGGAGGCATCTTCAAAAGCCTCACCTTCCTTTTCCCAGCCAGCCTGCCAAGGTGTGTCACGGAAGCCTGGGGAAGGGGAGGGTAGGGTTTTGAATATGTCCTCCCCAGTGTTCCCTCTACGCTGAGTTAGTGTGAGCTAGCTCACAGTTTTTTAGCCTCCGCCTCACACATTTTTGTCTTAGCTCAGGAAGGATGGCTCCAGAGCAAACTAATGTATGCAGCAGCCAAATCGCTGGCTCACAGCTTTAATGCCAATAGCTCACAGAGTAGAATTTTTGCTCACAAGACTCCACAGCTTAGAGGGAGCATTGGTCCTCCCCCCCCTTTTTGCTTCCCCTTCTGACATCACTTCTGGTGATGTCAGGGGTCGTGGCATATGCTAATGGGCTATTATGCTAATGGGCTATTAGGTATGCTAATGAGCTCCTGCAGCTCTTTTTGTACGAAATGACCCCTGGTGTTTTCTCAGGTCTCATATTTAGACACCATCTGTTGTTATAAATACATCATGAAGTACACTGTCAACATCCAAATATACACTGAGTTTCCAAGCAAACCCCTTGTTTCATATAATTATCATTGGATAATAATGGGGCATATCCAACTGTCCATGGGCTTTGCAGAATAGAACTTTACCCCGTCCCTGGCCGTTTGCAGTCCATTGAGCCCCCTGAAAGTTCCTGGCCCATCAACAGAGGGAGGGGTAACAGCAGAAATCACTACCCCCCTCTTCCAAAGAAGTGTTATGAAGTTAGTGGAATGGCACGGTTAATACATGCTAATGCCTCTGTAAAAGAAAGCATTATATTGCTCTAAAACGAAAACACAATACTGATTTTTTCCCCATGTTTTGGTTTGATCTTTACCTATGGACTAAAATGTTCTGAATATCTTTAGGTCTATCACATACTTCAGTTATGGTGTTTCTCCAGTCATATTTCTAGAAGTGTGGTGTTTATGCCATATTTTGAAAACGTTATTGTGTCATTCAAAATAAAATTATATAAGGGGCTTTGGTGCTTTCATGATGTGCTTTATTGTAGAACTCCAATGGGGTGTACACTGGCTTTATCAAAGTTCAAATGGAATTGTGCAGGCCTATCACGGTACGGGCTTCTGTGAATCCAGGGAACCACATCATGAATGACGAGACGGCTTTTTACTTACCTAAAGGCTATATGAATACCCTTCACATCAGCAGCAGTAATACTGTCCGTGAAGTTATCGAAGCTCTGCTCAAAAAGTTTTTGGTGGCTGATAATCCTGCTAAGTTTGCACTTTACAAGCGTTGCCACAGGGAAGACCAAGGTATGCCTTTTGATCTTTTGAATGTTTGAGCTAAATGACATTGGTCATGTGCCTGGGGTGGGGAGGGTAGGTTTCATGGGATAACTCCATAACACTGACTTTAAGGTGAAGTGCAGAGGTGCGGGGAGGAGATGCCCTTGAAAGAGGAGTAGTTTGGAAGAAGGTTAGTTTGTTCATCAACATGTATTTCAGTTGGGTTTCCTATTTTAAGCATATTTTTCCTCATTGATATCATTTTGGTCATGCAGGCTACATCTACTACAGACTTATTGCTGCTGAGAGCAATATGGTTTGGCTCTTTCTGAACATATGGAGGATAAGTAAAATTTGCTGTACTAAAAGCTCAGGCTAGGATCTTATGTATGTGTGTTTGGAAACAAGATTAGGCTGTAATTGTTGAGAACTTTGCCAGGAGCGAGGTATGCTTTTGAGCATTGAAAATACTTGTCATTTTGAGAACTGCATACAAGTGGTAGAACTCAGGTAGTCATAGAGCACTGAACAGAAGCACAAGAACACTCATATGGAATGACATTTCTTTTCTTAACTACTACCTCTTGTGATGATTTTGTGTTCCTTAAAAGCAATAGGAAGCACACAGTAAGAAATATACTACATGCTTTATGGTGTTGTTTGTAAAAGTTAGCTTGAAAAATAATTCTTTTTTAATAGAAAAATCATTTTTATATAGAAAAGTAGCATTTTAATCAGTGTATTGGATAGTTACAATTTAGTTCTAATTGACCATGTGTATTACTTAATTGGATATATTTATAACCTCCTGTTTAGGTGTAAACTTCGTTAAAACATTTATGTCTTGCCTTTCCTTAATAAACCCTGCTTTCATCGTCATCATCATCATCATCAATTGAATTTGGTAATCACCCTGTCCCAGCTTATGCCGAGCTCTGGGCAATGTACATAGAGGCATAAAGCCATAAAAACATATAAAATATTAAAATTCCACTAAACGATTTAATAAAACTAAAGACCCAAATAGAGTCCATGATGATGGCATCTGAAAATTTCTACCCCCAACTCTGAACTATTGGGCCAGTTTCTGGGTAGGGGGAGAAGGAACTAATAACAGCAATTCAGAGGGAGGGAAGGGAGGGGTGCCAGTCAAGGAAAGACCATTGCTGCCCTCAACCAAAAGCCTGGCAGAACATCTCTGCTTTACAGGCCCTGTGGAATTATATAAGATGTCATTTGGCAGAGAGTTCCCCCAGGTCAGGGCCAGGATCAAAAAAGCCCTGGCCCTGGTTGAGGTCAGCTGGACATCCCTAGGGCGGGGATCACCAGCAGATTGTTATCAGTAGAGCGCAAGGCTCTCTTGGGGACATACCAGAGGAGATGATTCCGTAGATACATTGGTCCCAGACCGCTCAAGGCCTTAAAGGTCAATACCAACACCTTAAACCTGACTTGGTATTCCACTGGAAGCCAGTGTAGCTGGCGCAGCACAGGTTGAATATGTTCCCATCAGGACTCATGCTGCTGCGTTCTTAATCAGCTGGAGTTTCTAGATCATTCTCAAGGGCAGGCTGGTGTGCATAAGAACATAAGAGAAGCCAATGCTGGATCAGGCCAATGGCCCATCTAGTCCAACACACTGTCACACAGTGGCCAAAAATACCAGGTGCCATCAGGAGGTCCATCAGTGGGGCCAGGACACTAGAGGTCCTCCCACTGTTGCCCCCCCCCCCCCAAGCACCATGAACACAGTGCATCACCTGCCCCAGCCTGTGAGTTCCTATCTATACCTTTTGGCTCTGCTCCATATGTTTATCCAGCATATGTTTATGTAGAGCTAGTTACACTAGTCTAGCCTGGAGGTGACCGTCGCATGGATTACTGTGGCTAGGTCAGGGTGCAACAAGAAAGGAGCCAGTTGCCGAGCTTGGTGAAGATGGAAAAACGCCAGCCTGGTAACATGCATGCCATGAGCCTCTATCAATAAGGAGGCATCCAAAGTTACACTGAAGCTCTTGATGGATGGCCCCGGTGTCAGTGGTGTGCCGTCAAGAGTTGGAAGCCTGAACTGCAATCCCGAAGCTTCCCCCCAGCCACAGAATCTCTGTCTTTGTCAAGATTCAGTCTCAGCCTGTTCTTCTTTTGCCATCCCACCATGGCCAGATTTTCCGGGGTGGTAGCTGGCCAGCCGTCCAATAGGAGATACAGCTAGGTGTCATTAGCATACTGATGGCACCCAAGCCCTAAACTCCTCGCCAGCTGGGCAAGGGGGCACATATAGATGTTAAATAACATAGAAGAGAGGAGGGCTCCCTGAAGAACCCCACACAACAAGGGTTTCCTAGAGGACACCTCCCGACCTTGTGCCACCCTCTGTCCCAGACCATGGAGAAATGAGGAAAGCCATTGAAGGGCCACCTTCGTGTCTTGAGATCAGAAAATCAGTTCTGCTAGTGGAGACCTACTTTGGGGTCATATTTCTACAAGGAACTATATTTAGATTTCATGCCCACTAGCCTGTCAGTTTATGTGACTATGATAGCACTGCATGAAAAGAAAGAAACATGTTCTAAGTTTTATTTAATGAAAATTTTAAATAGTGAGGTGCATATTACAGTATACAAAATTGAACTCTGCCCTCTCAAAGAGATCTGAAGTCTGGTGGAGGAGTAGGGGGAGAGGATGAAAGTGAGCAAATCTTGTCCAATAAAAGTCACAAGCATCTTCCCACAGATGACGAGAAACTTGCTTTGTATCATATGGTTGGTAGATTGTGAGATGCTCATGATCAGTCATCACTTGAATTGCAACTATACACTGATAGATAAAGGAAGCCCTAGTAGTAGTCCTCGTCAAACTTTGTTGTTCTTAAGGTTTTTATAAGAAAGAATCGGCCTGGATCCAGTGCTCTGTAGGCACAAGGACCACGGATCTTTCCCATGCCTCCCCCCAGCAGCCCCTTCTCTGACTCTGCAAAAGTTGATTTCTGGAGTTATGGGACCTGCATGGCCAGTATGGTGTAAGGAGGCTGTTCTGCAGAGGAGGAAATTACTTCTGCTGATTGATCACTAAGTTTCAGTCTGTTGTAGTCATCAACCATTTATCAGTTGGTGACTGAGATAATTTGATGACTCTCGGATATGTGACTGATTCCTAAAAACAATCAACAAAAGCTTGCTTTCTTCCAAATACAGAGACACTCGATGTAACACAGGCAATTTCTAATATCAGCTAAGGCTGTCTTGAATTTTTGTTTGTTTGGATGTTTCCAGATATGTTCAGGTGATGGTAGGTAAAGTTTGGATTGTGCATAATTGATACGGTCGCAAGGTCTGGGTTGGGAAATAATGGGAGATTTTGGGGGTGGAGCCTGGGGAGGGGAGGGACATCAGCAGGTTCTAATGCCGTAGTGTCCACCCTCCAAAGTGTTGGCGGAGTAGTTAACACAACTGTGAGTTGACATACCCGCAAGTATAAATGTACAAAAAGAGACTTCAATAAAGTGAAAAGCGGCATATAATTAGCAATATCAGTAACAAATATTACATATGGGAATGAAAAATCCACAAAATCCATGAAGGGAAGCAGTCAAGTCCAGAGAAGATATCCAACACTTTTCCTAGGTAGTTTATAGTGTTTCAGACTCCTGGTCCTTCCTCAGGAACAAAGAACTATAGAAGTACGCAATTGTAAAAGTATAAAATACAGCAATGCTTTATAACAATATAGCTTTTAAACAATGATGCTTAATAACAATATATAATCACTGTTACACAGAGTCTCATGTATCTTACCAACATAGGAAGTCTCATACCAGTTTCTTAACAGGATGATGCTATTCAACTTCTCTGTAAGAGAGTAACTCTTTAGAATAAAGAATATAAATACATAGCATAATATATGGACCATCAAGCCGCCAGTATATACTCCTAAGTATTAATATGCACCTCTAGGATTGCTTCTATGTGAACAGGACCAAACATGCCTCAAAGTATCTGGCCTACTGGGACAGTTTTATGAAGCCACATTGATTGCAGCTGATAGTATCCTGATTAGTTTTAAAGTTATAGAACCTCTTATTGTAAAAATACTAAAGTACTAGGAGTTGTCAACTCCAGGTGGAGCATTCCATCCCTAATTTGGGCCAGGTTTCCTAAATTTTAATATGCACCTCACAGGGTTGTTTCTAAGTGAACAGGACCAAATGCCTCAAATTTCCTAAGTAAAATATATATATGTGGTGGAACATTCCAACCTTGATATGGGCCAGGTCTCCAAAATTTTAATGTGCACCCTACAGGGTTGCTTATGTAGCCAGGACCTGATATGCCTCAAATTCCTATGTATATGTAACAGCTGCAATGCTATCCTAAAGGCACTGCAATAGTAGATCTTAAAGGTGCTAATCCAATACATTCATTCATAGTAAAATCCTAATAGTAGAAGAGTTCCAAAGATATATATGATATGCTGGACTCTTCTGAATTACTAAAGTATTTTATATTCATGACTAATTAATGAAACTGGAGTAGTAACTCTCTACATTCTATAATTACAGACATTGACTACCATTTTATCCATTGTGGGGCATGTGGTACTCCGAGAGTCTAAAATACTAAGTTACAAATTTATCAAAAACTGGCTGAGCACAAGAAGAACTTACATAAAAGCGGGCCATAGTAACAACAAGCAACAAACAATAATATAGCCAGGAACAGCAAAACAACTGTGAGCTGAAATACCCGCAAGTATAAATGTACAAAAAGAGAGTTCAATAAAGTGAAAAGCAGCATATAATTAGCAATATCAGTAACAAATATTACATATGAGAATGAAAAATCCACAAAATCCATGAAGGGAAGCAGTCAAGTCCAGAGAAGATATCCAACACTTTTCCTAGGTAGTTTATAGTGTTTCAGACTCCTGGTCCTGGTCACAGGCTAAAAAACTATGAGCTAGCTCACACTAACTCAGCTTAGAGGGAACACTGGGACATATGCTCCCGATAGCTGGCCCCGACCAACAGTCAAGCGGCAGCATTCTGCACTAGCTGCAGCTTCCAAACACTCTTCAAGGGTGCTCCCAAGTAGAGAGCATTGCAATAATAATTATTATCGTATGGCATTGTATGTAGAATAGCCAGGAGATCCTAGGATTGTCTAGCAGCTGCAAGTTCTAGCTCTTAGCATTGTGCTAGTGGTAATCTAAACTTGTTTTTAGGGACTGAGAGAGTTCTGAAAGAACTGTGACTGGCCCAAGGTCACCCAGTTGGCTTCATGTGAAGGAGTGGGGAATCGAACCTGGTTCTCCAGATTAGAGTCCGCTGCTCTTAACCACTGCACTAAACTGGCTCTTTGCGTTGCAGTAGTTCAGTCTAGATACAAATAAGGCATAGGTCACTATGGCTAGATCTGACTGGAGATAAAAATAAGGCCAAGGCCGATGGTGCAAATCAGGTAAAAATATATTTTATTACTCAGTTAAATTTCCAAAAAATGTTACTAGATCTGATTGGCCCAGGAACGGACATGCTTGACACACCAGCTGGAGCTGGGCAAACAAACTCCAAGCCACAGCAGCCACCTCATTGTCTAAGGTGACTGCTGTCTTTTTAAGGGGAGTATAGCCCTATCATAGACAGGGGATATCTGAAGTCCCTGGTCTGCCTTTCTTCTAACCCAGAGAACCTCTGTCTTGTCAAGATTAAGTTTCAGCTTGTTCAGTCACTTCCACCTGATTAATGACTCCAAGCACTGGTTCAGAACATCAACAGTATTCTCAGAATTAGGTAGAAAAGAAAGGTAGAGTTGGGTATCTTCTGCATTTTGGTAATATTGCAGCCTGTACCTCCTGATGATCTTTCCCAATGGCTTCATATAGATATTAAATAGCATGGGGGATAATATGGACCTTGTAGTGCCCCACAAGTCACCAGCCAAGGGGCAGAGCAAGAATCCCTCAACACTGTTGTGATGGACAGTAAATGGTTAATGCTGTAACCTGGTCTGAAAAGACAACATAATTAATTAGTTCATTTCCTGTGCTGAAACAAATCTATCCCCCTCCCCCAATAATTCCATAGCTTTCCTTGCCTTTCTTTGAAAACATGGGGGGGGGAGTGTAGTTTTTGCTCAGAGATGCTTCATTTGTTATTAGTAGTAGCAATTATTGCATCCCCTGACTGGGGTAGCCTGTCTCATCAGATCTTGGAGGCCAAGCAGAGCCAGCCCTGGTCAGTACTTGGATGGGAGACCAACAGGGAAGTCCAGAGGTGCTATGCAGGGGCAGGGCAATGGCAAACCTCTGAACATCTCTTTCTTGAAAACCCCATGAGGGGTCACCATAAGTCGGTTGTAACTAGGCATCCCTCTCCTCCCGCAAACCCCCCCCCCCCAGTATATGCTTGTAATGGGATTTGGTTTTGTGGGGGGAGGGGTTTATACAGGTGTGATGTTTGACGATCATATTTCATCTGAAATCCCCATATGTATATTATTCTTTATTCTATAATATTTTTCTTGCCTGCAGTTTATATGTGCAAGCTTTCAGAAATGGAACATCCCCTCTATTTGCGGTTGGTGGCAGGCCCAAGAACAGATATGCTTAGTTTTGTTCTGCGTGAGCATGAAACTGGAGAGGTTTTGGTAAGTTGCATCCATGCTCCTAATGTGCAGGGTCCAGACTAAATGTTTTCACAGACGCAAGGATTTTTACCCCTGGAGCACGATTTTCCCACCTCCCCTTCCTCACTGCAGCCTGAAATGCCTCACAAAACTATGTTCTTTTAGTTTCCACTCCCCCAGAATTTCAGGGGGCATTTGGGGCTGTAGTGATATAGGTAAGAAAATCATGCTCTGTGGGCAGGTTTTTGCACCTGTGGAAGCATTAGCTTGGATCCAGCTCCATGATTGGAAGAGATCTTGAGGCTTCCTTGGGTTACTGATGGGACGTAAGTTTTGCTCAGGGATCAGCTGTACTCAGGCCCATGGTACACAACTGGAGAGCTGTTTGGTGGTCAGCCACAATCCAAATTGGATGGAATCCTTAGTTTTTATGTATCGCTGTCTTGCTGGAAATGCCCATTGTAAGTATACAAGCCATTCTTAATAGTTCTCAATAGTGCAGTGGAATGCTTGTGGCCAGCATATTCATTTTCTTCTAAGGGAAAGAATGTAGGAACAAAGGTATAGATGGAATTGTTTGTATGAAGAAGAAGAAGAAGGAATGTTTTAATAAACACTTCAGCTGTGTTCTTTCCTCTCCCTCTGGGCAGTTGATATTTCATAAAGCTGAACTTAAAAGTTCAAAAAAGTTGTCGGCCACCATGTTGGTCCAAGGAAAAATCAGAAGACAGGAACAAAAGCCATGTAATACCTTCTTTTAGCACCAACCAACATGACACAAAACATGTGTTGGGTGGGTTGGTCCTAATAAATGGTATCACATGGATTTTGTTTAGGGATTGCATAACATTCAGATGCTATATTTATAATATTTTCAAGACTTGTGATAATTTTTCTTTATGGGGAACACATGGAACTTTAGAGTAAAGGGTCTTACCTGTTCACTTCATTTAACTTGTTTGTGGTACCAAGGCCTCTAAGGATGTACAGGTTTCTCTGATCAGGTAGTATCCAGAATAAAGGTGAGAATGACAAAGGGGAAAAACCTTCCAAACTGTTATTGGATGTTTAATTATGGGAATTGAGATACTACTCATGAGTTACATTAATTTTTTTACCCTTTTCTTCTTGCAGTGGGAAGCCTTTAGCCTACCTGAACTGCATAACTTCTTGCGTATACTGGACAGAGAAGAAGATGAACAATTGCAGAACTTAAAAAGGCGCTATGCAGCATACAGAGACAAACTTGAAGAAGCCCTTAGTGGGGTTTGGCAGCCAGGTTAAAATGGGGCCAAAGAACACTCAGGAAAAATGTCATTACCAAATACTGGCAAGGGTGGTTGCCTCTTTAAAACACGTGATCATTTTGTGAGGCCAAGAGAGAACATTTCCAAAGAAGAGGTCCGAGGAATCACGTTCTTATTTTGCATATAGACACAGAGAGAAGTGGCATTATATGTTACTTGCAGATCTCTCTCTCATGTTTTTTGTGTCTTTCCCAGGTTTCTTTGTACTCACTGTGATTGTGTGATGCATCTTTGAAAATAGACAGCATGAAACAGATATTATTTGCTTTAATGTTCATTTGAGGCTTTTGAAAAAAGTTGTGGATAAATTGAGTTATCTTTTCTATAAATCAAAGCTTAATTTTGATCAAGGAGTGTTGTTTCAGATCCAGGTCTCTTTTTGCAAAGAAATCATTTTTATTGTAAAGAATCATAAATGGTTCCAAATATAGTGCAGAAGATGTTAAAGCAGTCTTTACTGGAGAAGTTAGAGAGGAAGTTGGAAAGAAGGTAAGAGGTAGGGGAAGAGAAATGGAAGAGAGAAACAGGTGATCCTGGAATTCAGTTTTTGTGTTGGAAAGAAGGTGGGGAGTTTAGAATTACTGAAATTAATATATTCAGAGATGGTTTTGAGATGAGGCTTACTGTAATAGAAACTGAACTGCATATGCAGAAAACAGATAGAATTGCTACTTTAAAAAAAGTGATGCAGGCATGCTTTGGTTCCAGTCTACTATGAGCTTTATGATCTGTTAAATACTTGGCTGAGGTTTATATGAGAAAAACATCAGCATTAAATAATCCAGAATGTGTTTAATTCATTGATTGTCTGAAGATGCAGTAGAATTGTTCTGGGCACATATAGTAACATCTCTTATTTTTGAAAATCAGTGGGTTGAATTTAGAGCTCCAGGGACATGAGGATTACGGGTATTTTCTCTTACTCCCAGCGCTCCTTCTCAAATCCTGGAAAAAGTGATCTGCCTGAACATACAGCTCCACAGACAGAAAAGGTTGGAGGAACAGTTTTGTTCCCTTCCCTTCTTCAGCACAGCCCATCTCCCCCACATGGAATCAACCTTCCTGGGGTGGGAAAGGATCTGCTGATGGATTGCTGGATTTAGATCTCTTTATGTTTTGTATTCTTAAGTAGGCTATCTGTGGTTTGAGTAAACTATAAATAGTTCAAAAGCTGACTAGGGTTCTGTGTACTGTTCAACCAAATGCAAGGTAAATAATTAGAGGAGGAGGAGAATCTTGCCTATGATGAGCTATATATTTTTTCCAGAAATATTATCTAAGTATATATGCTAAGTGAAACCAAAGATGTGGTGTGCAATACAAATCTTCTATATAGCTGTATGAAGACTTACTGTAAGCGTGTTCTAAACATGTTCTAAGTGTTCTTATATTTTCAGCCACCGGGGGAAAACAATTATTTGGAAAACTTAATATTGTTTATGATTTCCCCCCCAATCATGAGCAGCAATTGTTTTTGTCTTAATTATTTGGCCAATATCTTTGAAACTTGCCTGCCACTTTGGTGTCACCTAGTGGGTAATAGATGCAACACCAAGATATGTTCTGTTGGGAAATGTGCCTTCATTTTTAAAGTTAACCGCTTCTGCCCCTCCTTCCTTCACCAAAAGAAGCACACCTAGGTTTCTAATTCTAATGCTCATTACACAGGAGCAACAACAGTCTTGGTGTTTTGAGGCATTAACAGCACAATTAATGATCACATTCTCATTACCATTTTTTTTCTTCTTTCCCACATAATGTTGCAGTATTTTGTATGGGACTTTATTGGGAAAATAGTGGCGCTGCATTTTATGGTGGTACAGGGATGCTTATAGATCAGTCAGAATAAGTTCCCTACAAGTACTGTGGCACACTTATAGGCCAGTTTAGGTTACTGTTCCTCTGTTGTGGCAGCAAACAGCCCTGGCATAATGAAAGAAGTCACATTTTACTGTGCCCACTTGTACATAAAGTGGGCATCAGAGTGCCTCCACCCAGGATATGCTGCCACACACAGTTGTGCAATTCCTGTGATTACATTTATTTTAAGCATTGCTTCTGGTAAAGTGTTACTTCAGGTAAGGCTTTTTGACATACAGCATGTGAGAACAGATCAGAACTGGCACTATGATTCCTTTAATTGTATACATGGCAAAGTCATTGTTTGCATTTAAATAGCAAACATTTGTTGTTCAGAATTACTGTTCGAGTCCAGAAAGGGCAATTTTAAAGTATGTGAATCTTAATTTTTACTTGAACATTTGCGTTTCTTTACTCCAAGTTTTTTATTGGTATCTTATGCACTACAGGCTTAAGTAGAAAATAAAGGATTTGTTCAAACTATTAGAGTTCAGAAAGACTTGGATAAACACTGGCTACTTCAGCTTTTATTTAATTTAAAAGAATAGGGCAGTGATGACCCAAAAGATTTTTTTTAATTTAGTTTTGTTTTAGTATCCTAGTATTGATCTGTCAGAGGTGTGTTGCAAAGTCTGTATATTGTCTGTTTGAGGGTACCTGAATGAAACTTAAATGAAATGAAGACAATGTAGGGAACACCGAAAACGTAGAGAGTTTTTGTTCTTTTTAAAAGAAACTGTACTATTTATTATTTTGAAAAACTGTTCTTTTTATAGGGAAGATTTGATTCCCTTCAAATATATTATTAAAATGTTGTGATTTCATCATTAAAGCTGAAGTTGATACAGTTGATGTTGGTTTCGACTGCTGAATTATTGCATAAATGTATTAAGTAACAATTATAGTATCAATACTAAATCCTCTGGGGGAGCAAGACATAAATGCAAAGCCAGTAACTGGAAATAAGAAAGCTAAAGTTTTGCAGGGAGTGAGATGTATACCAGATAACATTAACTCACATGAAAGTACAGAAACCAAAACCTCAGGGTGCATAAAACATGGATTCCGATGTCTCTACACTAATGCACAGAGTATGGGAAACAAGCAGGAGGAACTTGTCCTAATACAGAAAGGAGACTATGACCTAATAGGCATTACTGAAACTTGGTGGGATGACACAATTCGAATATTAGGATTGAGTGGTATAACTTATTTAAAAGGGGCAGAAAAATAAGGAAGGGTGGAGAAGTTGCATTATATGTAAAGGAGGTGTATACTTGTGAGGAAATATGTGAATCTGAGCATGAAAGTCCAGTTGAGTGTTTCTGGGTAAAAATAAAAGGAGTAAGAAATAATACTTATATCATGGTGGGGGTCTGCTATAGATCACCAGGCCAGGCAGAGGATTTGGATGAGACACTCCTACAACAGATTACAAAGTTCTCAAAGAGACGGGACATAGTGGTTGTGGGAGATTTCAGTTACCCAGATATCTGTTGGAAGTCCAACTCTGCTAAGAATGAAGGGTCCAATAAATTCCTGACTTGTCTTCCTGACAACTTCATTTTCCAGAAAATGGAGAGGGAAACAAGGGGGTCTGCTATCTTGGGCTTGATACTTACCAACAGGGAAGAACTGGTTGACGAGGTGAAAGTACTGGGAACCCTGGGTAGCAGTGACCATGTAATTTTGGAATTTACAGTCTTGGGGAAGGTAAAAGCTGAATATAGTAAGACATATAGGTTGGACTTCAGGAAAGCAAATTTTGATAAAGTTATACTGGGTAGAATCCCATGGTCAGAAATACTTAAGGAGAAGGGAGCTTAGGAGGAATGGGAGTTTCTTAAAAGTGAAATACTGAAGGCACAATCACAAACGATTCCTATGAGAAGGAAAAATGGGAGGAGCTTAAAGAAGCCAAGGTGGCTCCATAAACAGCTTTCTAAGAACCTGAAAACTAAAAAAGACTCATTCAGAAAGTGGAAGGAGGGCCTTATAAACAAGGATAAGAACATAAGAACATAAGAGACGCCAATGTTGGATCAGGCCAAAGGCCCATCCAGTCCAACACTCTGTGTCACACAGTGGCCAGAAATACCAGTGCCATCAGGAGGTCCAGCAGTGGGGCCAGGACATTAGAAGCCCTCCCACTGTTGACCCCCCCCCAAGCACCAAGAAGACAGAGCATCACTTGCCCCAGAGCCCCTAGCTATACCTTGTGGCTAATAGCCACTGATGGACCTCTGCTCCATATGCTTATCTAATTCCCTTTTGAAGCCATCCATGCTTGTAGCACCCACCACTTCCTGTGGCAGTGAATTCCAAGTGTTAATCACTCTTTGGGTGAAGAAGTACTTCCTTTTATCCATTCTAACCCGACCGCTCAGCAAGTTCATGGAGTGCCCACGAGTTCTTGTATTGTGAGAAAGGGAGAAAAGTACCTCTTTCTTTACCTGCTCTTTCCCATGCATAATCTTATAAACCTCGATCATGTCACCCCTCAGTCGTCTTTTCTCCAAGCTAAAGAGCCCTAAGCGCTTTAACCTTTCCTCATAGGGAAAGTGT